GCCGGACAAGAAACCACTAATACTTTGCTTGCTTGGACTGTCTTTCTTCTGGCACTCCATACGGATTGGCAAGAGGAAGCAAGAAAGGAGGTGCTACAATTATTTGGCAAACAAACTCCAAATCTTGATGGCATTGGCAAACTGAAAACAGTAAGAAACTTGTCTAGGTGGTAGAAACATGTTCTCAATAAAGTTTGAGATCCTGATTCGGTTATCTATTTTTCATTTTGATGCAGATGAGTATGATCATCAATGAGGCTCTAAGGTTATATCCCCCTGCTGTTTCGGTTGTAAGGAACGTTGAAAGGGAAGTTAGACTAGGAAAGCTAATTGTTCCTAGTAATCTTGATGTGGTTGTCTCAATCGTAGCAGTTCACCATGATCCTCAAATTTGGGGACAAGACGTGCAACTTTTCAAACCACAGAGATTCTCAGAAGGAGTTGCTAAAGCAACTAACAACAACATAGGCGCATTCTTACCCTTTTCAATGGGACCTCGAACGTGCGTGGGCTTGAACTTTGCAATCACTGAAGCGAAGATTGCTCTGTCAATGATTCTGCAACGCTATGCCTTCACCCTTTCCCCGGGTTATGTCCACTTGCCCTTACACTATCTTACAGTTCGGCCACAACATGGAGTTCAGGTAATGCTGCATTCACTTTGAAGTTGAATTGCCCAAGGAGACATAAGTCCATCTTGTGCCTTGCACTTTGAGACAAGACAGAGCTTATTTGTCAACTGTCCTTTCAACTCTAATTAAGAAGAAAAGGATGTTATTGAAGTAAATGCATTTCCCAACAACAATTGTACAATAAACAAAGCTTGAACTTCATGGAAAGCATGAATTTGATTGAAAAGGATGGTTTCTCAAGACATTGAAATTTAATGAGAATAATTGAAAGCTGTGATAACCTATGTTAGCCTTCTGAATGACTGTTGCATCAGCTTATGTTAACCTTCTTATCACACAGTCAGGATTCCTGGCATCATGTAACTTTCTTTTAACTAAAACTCAACTTGGGATGCCCATTTTTATATGTGTACATTCCACTTGAAGAGAAGAAGAATCCATCTAACTTGGGCGGGTCTGACCCAAAAAAATAGCCATTTTGGAATCTCCAAGGTCAGGGACGAGATATGGGGGTGGCGAGCACTGCTATGAGAGAGAGAGAGAGAGAGAGAGAGAGATGAGGATGAGGGGAGGAGAGGTCGCGGGTTATTTATATGTTGATAAAAAAAACAGAAGGAGAGATGGGCTTTCAACTGGGCCTGGGCTTAAAACTCTAATAAAACCAAATGCCCTATTTTGATGGGAATTGGACCTTAAAAAATACAACATTAAATGGATTTTGCATTATGAAATCACTAAAGCAATCACTAATAAATAACAAAAAATATATATATATATATTATACTATTTGTTTAATATATATGTATTATGGTGGTATTTTATAATTTATACATCGTTTTATTTTGCATAATTTTGGTATAAATTAATAATTTATAAGACTAAATAATAAATAAATAAAAGAAATAGGCCTTGATTACTCCCCTACCGCCTAGCCATTTTTCTTCATATACAAGTTGGTGTGTTTTTAGATAAGGTCAAAATTGACAGTGGCACTTTATTAAACCACCCAATTTATTATTACAGTAACAGAGCAAGACAATTTAAATAATCAACTGAGGGAGCTGAATATTGATCTGGTTCAGAAATCTAGCAAAAGAGAAAAACTATACTAAAAAAGATGGATTCCTCTGGAGAAGTAGCAATCATTCTTTCAAGCTCTGTGTTTCTGTTTCTCTTTTTAGCTCTCATCAAGATCTTTCACAAGCTATGGTGGAAACCAACAAGCATACAGAGGCTGATGGCTTTGCAGGGCATCAAAGGCCCTGCTTACAGACTTGTCCATGGAAACACCAAAGAAATCTTCAACATGCAAAATGAAGCCATGGGCAAGCCCCAAGGTTTATCACATGACATATTTTCCAGAGTTCAACCTCATTTTCACTCCTGGATCAAGTTATATGGTAAAGAAACTCCTCATTGACTATGGTTTTTGAGTCTTTGTTCTGAAATAACTTTGGTCATCTTTTGCAACAGGGAAGAATTTTCTTCAATGGTATGGTCTTCGACCTCAATTGATCATCACGGAACCTGAGTTGTGCAAGGAGATACTGAATGACAAAGATAGAGCTTATCCGAAAAGCAAGCCCAAAAGCTTTGTGAAGCAGCTACTGGGAGATGGACCTGTGACAACAACCAACACTGAAAAATGGGGAAAATTGAGAAAGGTGGCCAACTATGCTTTCCATGGAGAAAGCTTAAAAGTAAGTTCTTACGGTTGTTTATGAATGGCAGAAAAATAAGAAAGGCATAAATTGAAAGTAAATTTGTTAATGGCATGATGGTAGAGTATGACTCCGGCAACGATAGCTAGTGCTGAGATTATGCTTGAAAGGTGGAAAAATCAGGATGGCAAAGAGATTGAGATGTTTGAAGAATTTCGGTTGCTCACCTCAGAAGTGATTTCCAGGACAGCATTTGGCAGCAGCTACTTAGAAGGGGAGAAGATTTTTGAGATGCTGATGAAGTTATCCTTCTTAACTTTCAAAAACTCTTTGAAACTCAGGATTCCTGGTATCAGGTGAATTCTTTTTTCTTTTTCTTTTTTTCATTTTCCCCATCTGCTGCACATCAAAGAACTATTCACAAACGAATTCTTGGATTATTAGTTTAGTTCTCATGTTAAGTCTTTCATTGAATATTACAGTAAGTTTTATAAAACATGCAATGAGATCGAATCAGAGAATCTTGAGAAAGGAGTATATAACTCCATAATAGAGATTGTTAAGAAAAGAGAAAATAAGGCAATGGCTGGAGAATAAGATGACTTTGGGAGTGATTTTCTTGGATTACTTTTGAAGGCTCATCATGATGCCAATGACAACCAGAGGATTTCTGTTGATGACTTAGTTGATGAGTGCAAGACATTTTACTTTGGCAGACAAGAAACTTCTAATAGTTTGCTTGCTTGGACTGTCTTTCTTTTGGCAATCCATACGAATTGGCAAGAGGAAGCAAGAAAGGAGGTCCTAGAAATATTTGGAAAATGAAATCCGAATACGGATGGCATTGCCAGACTAAGAACAGTAAGAAAGTCCAGTACTCAATCAATCGCTTCTTCAAGTGGCATAAATGTTCTTCATTAACTATGAAATACTGATTTCTTTTCAAATATTCATTTTCATGCAGATGAGATGACTATGATCATCAATGAGACTCTGAGGTTATATCCGCCTATTGTTGCCCTTGAGAGGGAAGCTGAAAGAGAAGTTAGGCTGGGAAACCTCATTATCCCTGCTACTGTTGAACTCGTCATTCCATCTTTAGCATTTCACCATGAGCCTGGATTCTGGGGACAAGACGTGCATCTTTTCAACCCGGACAGATTCTTTGAAGGGGTTGCTAAAGCTACTAAGAATAACATAGCCACATTCTTACCATTTGGTATGGGACCACAAAATTGTGTGGGTTTGAACTGTAGGAAATATGAGTGCTAAATTGCTATAAAATAAATAAATAAAAACTACAAACAAAACAGATTTTTACAACAGCATAATGGAATTAAAAGAACCTTAATTGAGTCGAGGCAAGTGTTGGACACTCTGACCTTAAGACGAATTACCCCACACTGGTGCTTATGGTTCACTAGCGTTCGCCTCCCAAGATACAACGACTCCCCTCCTTATGAAAGAAGCACTACAATTCGCAAGGAACTTTGAACCAAAATTATGCAGGAACCTCTCTTTATGAAACTCTAATGCTCTATATGTTTGAAAGTATGTATGTAGAGAATTGATTGAATGAATAAAACTGCAGGAGGATTGCTCTATTTATAGATGATGAAATACCTTCTAAAAAGGTATCTCAATCTGAAAAGGCAAACAATGCATCCCTTGGTCTGAAGAGTTGTCACCCCAACCAATGCATCCCTTGGTTTGAGGAGTTGTCACCCCCCATGTGAAGATGTCTTTAACCCAAGGGTCATGTCCTTAACTCAATGGATTTTATTAATTTCCATTCAAATAGAAAATTAATATTAAATATAATATTAAATTTCTCACAATCCCCCACATGAATGGAAATTAGTTTCAACAATATGCAAATGATAATGCAAACTTAGAGAGAGTTCCTATTAGAAGAATATGGCATCTGGATATGTAGCTTTTGGCTTTGACCCTTCCATAGTGAAGTACTATCGGATTTACTTGGCTAATCAGTGAACGTGATGTGTTGAACTGTTCAGCCGTTCGTGTAAACCCAGACAATAATACTCACACAATACCCTTCTAGACATATCCAGTTCGATCGGTTGTGCTTGTTTTGGCCATGAGCAACTCTTGGCATTCATAAGTGCTTTTGAGAATTTAGCCCTGAAAATTCTCATGGAAACGGCCCCATTTCACACTTATATAGGTGATTTCCTATTGGTAATATCCTCTCATATTTTACTCGGATAATCAAGGTATAGAAATCATTAAAAGCATAGCTTAACCTAAACACATTTCATACAACACAGTGTCATCATAGGATATGGGTAGGAGAATATATCTCCGCAGTGTTATTTTTGAGTTATCATAATTTACTTGTCCCTTTTGAACCTAGATCTTGGGATCTCCAGTCAACTAGGTTGGGTTTCCACTATGACGTCTCATTTGACATGGGCTTTAACCCCATCCCCCTCGATGATCTATAAACTTGCTCTCCATTCAAACCTTCAGTAAACGGATCCACCAAATTATCTCTTGACTTTATGTAGTCAATGGTAATTATACCACTGGAGAGCAGTTGCTTAACGGTGTTGTGTCTTCGACGTATATGTCGAGACTTGCCGTTATACATATTGTTTTGTGCCCTTGCAATTGTAGATTGACTATCACAATGTATACATATAGCAGGCACAGGTTTTGGCCAACATGAAATATCTTCTAAGAAATTACGTAGCCATTCAGCTTCCTCACCAGCTTTATCTAATGCTATGAACTCAGATTCCATAATAGATCTAGCTATAACAGTTTGCTTAGTAGATCTCCATGATATAGCCACACCTCCAATTGTAAAGACGTATCCGCTTGTAGAATTGGAGTCTTTAGTATCAGATATCCAATTAGCATCACTATATCCTTCAAGTACAACTGGATCTCTTGTATAATGCAATCCAACATTTTTGGTGTATCTTAAGTATCTTAGAACTCTGACTATAGCTTTCCAATGATCCCTTCTAGGATTACTAGTGTATCTGCTTAATCTAATAACAGAGTAAGCTATATCAGGCCTTGTGCAATTCGTAAGATACATGAGACTGCCAATGATACGAGCATATTCTAGTTGTGATACACCATGACCTATATTCTTCACAAGATTAAGATTTGGATCATAAGGTGTTCTTGCTGGACTAGTATCATACTTGCTAAACTTCGCAAGTATTTTCTCAATATAATGTGATTGGGATAAAACTAGTCCATCAGATGTTCTAGAAATTTTAATTCCTAGAATCACATATGCTACTCCCCAATCTTTCATGTCAAAATTTTTGGTCAACATTTTCTTGGTAGATTTAATCATCCCAATATTGCTACCAATAATTAACATATCATCAACATAAAGACAAATAATGACAAAACCATCTTGAGTGCTTTTCATATAAACACATTTATCACACTCATTGATCTTGAAACCATTTGACATTAGTGCATTGTCAAATTTCAGATGCCATTGTTTTGGTGCTTGCTTTAACCCGTACAAAGACTTAACAAGCTTACATACTTTCTTTTCTTGTCCAGGAACAATAAGCCCTTCAGGTTGTTCCATATAAATTTCCTCATCTAAAGCACCATTTAGAAAGGCCGTTTTCACATCCATTTGATGTATTTCAAGATTATGCAATGCTGCAATTGCAATTAACATTCTTATTGATGTTATCCTCGTAACTAGTGAATATGTGTCAAAGTAATCCAATCCTTCTTTTTGTTTATAACCTTTGACAACAAGCCTTGCCTTATATTTGTCAATTGATCAATCAGCTTTCATCTTCTTCTTAAAAATCCATTTATAACCCAATGGTTTATTTCCAGGAGGAAGATCCACAAGTTCCCAAGTGTGATTCTGCATGATGGATTCAACTTCGGCATTAATAGCCTCTTTCCATAAAGGAGCTTCAGGAGAAGTCATGGCTTCTTTGTAAGTTTGAGGCTCATTTTCTAACAAATAAGTTAGAAACTCAGGACCAAAGGATTTGGTTGTCTTAGCTCTCTTACTACGCTTGGGTTCATGTTCAGGTTCTGGTTCTGGTTCTGCAGTCTCTTGGTCTATGTTTTTTTGATGACCTTCTTGGCTATCACTATTAACAGTATCATAGGTTCTTTTACGTGTATTTCTTTCTTGTGCATCCTTATAAGGAAATACATTTTCAAAGAAAGATGCATTCCTTGATTCAATAATCGTATTTACATGTACATCTAATATATCAGATTTGTGTAAAGGAAATGATATGCACTACTGTTAATGGCATAACCGATAAAGATACAGTCAATAGTTTTTGGTCCTATCTTAACCTTTTTAGGGGTTGGAACCGCAACTTTAGCTAGACACCCCCACACTTGCAAGTATTTATAGGAAGGCTTGTGACCTTTCCATAACTCATAAAGTGTCTTGTCTAACTTTTTATGAGGCAATTTGTTGAGAATGTAGTTAGCAGAGAGTAAAGCTTCCCCCCCACAAATTCTGGGGTGCTCTAGAACTTACTAGCAAAGCATTCATCATTTCTTTTAAAGTACAATTTTTGCATTCAGCAATACCATTTTGCTAAGGTGAGTATGGAGCAGTAGTTTGGTGAATAATTTCGTGTTGGGAACAAAACTCACCAAAAGGTGATTCATATTCACCACCTCTATCACTTCTTAATATCTTTATTTTCCTGCTAAGTTGATTCTCAACTTCTCTTTTATAATGTTTGAACATTTCTATAGCCTCATCTTTACTTCTTAGCAAATATACTTGACAATATCTTGTACAATCATCAATAAAAGTAATAAAATACTTTTTACCACTTCTAGTTTGGACAAAATATCACTGTGAATTAATTCTAGAGGTTCTGTACTTCTTTCCATAGACTGGAATGATGATCTAGTTAGTTTTGCTTCAACACATGTTTCACATTTATTATGGAAATCAATATGAAACTTAGGTATTAGTTCCATGTTAATTAATTGACGCAATTTGTCATAATTAACATGCCCTAATCTTCCATGCCACAAATCAGATGACTCAAGCATATAAGCAGAACTAACTTTATTATTATTAACTTTGTGTACAACAGTCATTACATTCATCTTGAAGAGTCCATCAGTAAGGTACCCTTGCCCCACATACATTCCATTCTTAGTAAGTACAAACTTATCAGACTCAAAGACTAGCTTGAACCCATTCTTCCTAAGCAGTGATCCAGAAACCAAGTTCTTCTAGATCTCAGGGACGTGAAGTACATTATTGAGAGTGACTTCCTTTCCAGATGTCATCTTTAGAACTATTTTCCCCTGGCCATGAATTTTGGAGGTGGAGAAGTTTCCCATGAATAAAGGCTCTCCTTGATCATTTGCTTCATATGTAGAAAACATCTTCCTTTAAGAACATATGTGGCGTGTAGCTCCAGTATCCACCCACCATTCCTTGGTGTTACCCACCAAGTTCACTTCAGACACGACTGCAGAAAGATTAATATTTAACAAATCAGTTGAAAGCTTGTCTTCTTCAGTCATTTGTGCCTCAGTCTTCTTCACTCCTGGATCAAGTTATGTGGTAAAGAAACTCCTCATTGACTATGGTTTTTGAATCTTTGTTCTGAAATAACTTTGGTCATCTTTTGCAACAGGGAAGATGTAGAAAATGATTTCCCTTGATTTAAATCTGTTTACAATGCACAGCTATATAGGAGATTTGTTTGACTGTTACAAGAAATAATAAACAGCAATAATTACAAAGAATCGAAACTGATCTTCCGTTACACAATCAGTTTTGATTCTCAATCAAACTGATCTTCAGTTACTCAATCAGTTTTGATTGAGAAGAGGAAGGTCATCTTTTGCAACAGGGAAGAATTTTCTTCAATGGTATGGTCTTCGACCTCAATTGATCATCACGGAACCTGAGTTGTGCAAGGAGATACTGAATGACAAAGATAGAGCTTATCCGAAAAGCAAGCCCAAAAGCTTTGTGAAGCAGCTACTGGGAGATGGACTTGTGACAACAACCAACACTGAAAAATGGGGAAAATTGAGAAAGGTGGCCAACTATGCTTTCCATGGAGAAAGCTTAAAAGTAAGTTCTTACGGTTGTTTATGAATGGCAGAAAAATAAGAAAGGCATAAATTGAAAGTAAATTTGTTAATGGCATGATGGTAGAGTATGACTCCGGCAATGATAGCTAGTGCTGAGATTATGCTTGAAAGGTGGAAAAATCAAGATGGCAAAGAGATTGAGATGTTTGAATAATTTCGGTTGCTCCCTTTCGGCTTCTTACAGTTCGCCCTCAACATGGACTTCAAGTAATGCTACACTCACTGTGAACTGAAAGAACCAGTATTGCCCATAATCTTGGACTTGGTGTATGGATTACCTAATGCCCTTGGACATGGTTAGCTTGTTATTTTAAAAGATTGTAATGTCTGCTGTGAAGTTTGTAAAAATTTAACCTCCTGTTCTGCTGCTTTGCTGCATGTTTCTAGTAGAATTTCCATTGATGAAATAAAACGTTTTGGGAACCCAAAGAGCATCTCTAACCCCAGGC